AGTGGGAGAACTTGCACAATTGGTGGCTGACTAAATACTTTTTTGCCCCACTGTATTTATACCCATCCTTATTTTGTACAACTCAAGGTAGTGTACACAATGTTCCTGCCTTCTATTTTCCCTACAGCCACAAATCTGTGAGGTAGCTTGGGCTGGGAGAGAGTGATTGGCTGAAAGTCACCGACCAGCTTTCATGCCTAAAGGAGGAGTAGAATTTACACATTCCTGGTTTCAAAGCCAGCACCTTAACCACTACACCAAATTGGTTCTCACATAGGGCTTTATTGGTTATAACCAGCACCTTGAATTTTGCCTAGAAATAGGAATAGCCACCAGTGGAACTGCTCTAAAAAGGGAGTCACATGCACCATATAGCTTTATTCATTAGAGTGGACCAGCTAAACTTTCCAGAAACAAATTAGCCTTATATAAAATACATTAAGCCATTTATCACCGTGGCCAAATCTGACATACTCAGGAATGGATAGAGCTTCCATAATACTCTTGCCTTTGCAGATGCTCTTTTTATCACTGGAACTTGAATTTTCAGATTTAAGGCTGAATCCAGGAGTAATCTAAACAGTGAACCTGAGACTCCAAAGTTCACTCAAGTTAGAGGTCTGTTTTAGCTTAAAGTAACTGTACTGACAGTACCTGGATTAAGTTTTCAGTATCCATCAGTGTAAAATTTTAGCCACGGATGGCCATATATTGAATGGATTCCAGGTTTTCCAATGCAAATATCTCAGGTGAGGTCTACCTAGAACTGGCATCATCAGGACTTTGTTGTTCAAATAACTATGTAACCAGACACAAGATTTCAAACTCTGTGAACAAACATGCCAAAATGCATTTTTGCAGTTCAGAATTCCAGTATAGGTAGTCCTTGTTTAGCAACCACAATTGGGACTGGCAACTTGGTTGTTAAGGGAGAGGGTTGCTAAGTGAAACTGTGACTGGGCTTATGATATTACTTCAGCTTTCCTTTGCAAAGGTCATAAATGTGAGGACTGATTGCAAACAGTCATCAACATTGTAACTGCAAATGGTCATTAAACAAGGCAGTTGCTAAATAAGGGCTACCTGTATTGGTAAAGCTATATTATAAAAGTTGACTGATCATGAAAGTAAGGTGAACTCCAAGCTGTGTGTAGGCATATATATATGCTAAAATCTCTTAATACCCATGGCAAAAGAGACCCCCTCACAGATTCCACCACAGCTGTCTACAGAATCTCTCACCAGTGTTTCCAACTTTATTCTTTCTTTCTTTCTTTCTTTCTTTCTTTCTTTCTTTCTTTCTTTCTTTCTTTCTTTCTTTCTTTCTTTCTTTCTTTCTTATTTATTTAGATGTATTAACCACCTAAGAAGTTGAATGAAATTCTTCTAGAACATGGCAGTCCTTGATTGCTTAACTTAAGACTACCCTGTGTTTGTCACAGAACATAAACAGCAAAGTAAAGATATAAAAAAAATGTTATTAAAGGGTTTTTCTTGAAAATAGCACCTTCTTCCATTGTTTCAAAATATCAGTATTGCCGATATTAAGCAAAGAGGGCTTCTTTCATGAGTGCACAACATAGGCACATAGGTATCATGAAATGAGGACTTAGGAAAGGACCCAGAATATTTGGGGATATGTTGACATTCCTTTTATTTACTTGGTTATTTAAAAGATGGTGATGCAAGTATTGGAAATACATGTGTGCATGTTCCCAAATGCTGCTGTGTTCTGGGGAAGCAAAGAGAAGGGAAGGCGCTGAAGTGGCCAGGGCAAATATTTTGAATTTTGACTACATGTGATTGTAATCTGTCCACTGGTCAATATATGCTGGCCAATATATGCTGCATCTCCTTGTGGTAAAATACCTAAGAAACACAAGGTATGTGGACATTACACTGCAGTTCTACAAGCCAAAACAACAACAACAACAATATCCAAGAACCCTGATCAGCTTCATAATGTAAAAAGGAAATTATTGTCTACATAGTCCAGTTAAATCTTACGTCTGTAATGGAGAATTACAATTTAACATCAGTTTATCAAGACTTTTAACCGAAATCTTAACCATAGCTTGAAATTATTTCAATCTCCTGTTTAATAAACTGACATTAAATCACAGTTCTTCACTTTAGATTTAACAACTATTAAACTTTAGATTTAAAGTCACAGTAAGCCCTGAGAAAGAGAGGCAGAAACAATGGAACGATTTATCCCGTCAGTTCTCAAATCCGTTTCCTAACATCACTTCAGATGTCAGCTTCATAGCACCCCTATGAAATTAAGCAACTCCTGCACACTGAGAGCATTTTTTGGTATGAAAGAGCCTTTGTGGGCACTGTGCTCAGGAAGAGCTCTGTAGGATTCTGACTGAACATGTCGTGTAACTGGTTGCATCACAGTCACATTTTCACCACCATGTGAATAGAGGGTAGAGTCATGTTACAATCAAGAAGTATCTTGGTAAGATTTGAAGGACTGATTAATTCTGCTTAACAAACAAACCAACAACAACAAAAAAGAGAATCTTCATTTATTTACCTGAGGACCATTTCCAGGTTTTAAATGGTAGCCAAACACAAGCTCCAGATTCAGCACCTTCTCCTCACTGGCCTCATTTTCAGCAACAGAATCCTACCCCAGAAAGAACAATGAATCATTTGGGTTCACCTCAAACTGTTGTTGTTGTTTTAAGTTCAAGACAGTGCTATTGTTTGAGTTGAATATTTTACCATTTTGCACATGATTAAAGCAGTCTGACTCTACTTAAATCTTGAGTGTCAAAAAGAATGTTGTGTCATTCAGGTGTTGAAAACAAACTTGAAAACCTCTAAGGGAGAATTTAGATATCCCCTCTGCAGGGATGATAATGTGGGGCAAAAAGTGAGCAAGAAATCCAGCCAGAAAGTGTTTTTCGCGGGGATTTAAAATATTTATTCTATAAGAAACAGAAGAATTACAAAGAGAAAAATAGTAAAAATGTAGATTAGAAAATAGAAAAAGAAAAAAGAAAAACAACAGAAGAAAAAAATACAAACATATATGAACAAAATTTTCATTTTTTAAAATTTGTATAGTATGAAAAATAAAAATAATGGGAACCAAAATAAAATAAAATAAAATAAAATATTTATTCTAGTGTAAAGCCACTGCACTATTCCCACTGATGGCATCTGCCTACAGGGATGAGCAATTACCAGTGCAAGACTCAACCAACCAATTTAAAATGTTAAGAACCTCCCAAATACTATGGGAGTAATCCAGAATTGTGCACCTGAAAAGCAAACTCATACAGTAAATCTTTGTCTTCCCCTCTTCTGCTAGGGAATTTCTTATGCCTCCTGTAAAAAAAACTTGAGAAGTTCTACAAAACATTATATACTGCATCTCAGTGGGTAGCGCTTGAACAAAATTGTCAAAATCTGGAACTATAAGCTAGCAATGCAAGATTTCCTCACCTGATTTCAAGCAATTCCTCCCAAAAGTCGGTATGACATAATTCATAATGTACTACAACTGACTCCAAACTTCCAGTCATGTGGCAAGAAAGAGGAAGATCTGTTGCATGATCTTGCTTTTCTAACATGCAACAATGATGGTCATCAAAAGGCTACATTAATTCACAGTACTAGGTTCAGATTTTTTTTAAAAAAAGAACTGCTTATTCAACAAGGCAAAATTACATGGTTCAACTGCATGCTAAACTGGAATGGATGAGTTCATACATTGCACTGAGCCAGGATCAAATGGACCATATTATGGCTTAGGTGTTATACAAGAACCAAGCAAACATCTGGAAGAATTCTAAGTGATAGAGAAAACCACGCAGAATTCTGGGCATTAGTGCTGACTGTTTAATTTGTAAAATGATACAGGACTGCTGAAAGTTAAGTGAAAATTTAATAATAAATTTCTTCAATACTAGGTCCCAGTCTAGATCGATGGGTCTGGCACTATTTGACCTTGCTGGGTCAGTTGCCCACTTTTCTGCCAGTACTTCTTTTAAATAAAACAAGAGCATAGGATTATTCAGAGTTCTCCAATAGCTACAATCAAATACAGAGTGTTTTCAAGATATTTGAGCCCGGATATGCTTTTAAATTTGGCTGATATTAGCACAAACATTTTTTTCCATATATTTCCTGTTTAAACAAATCGACAGTTACCTTAATCAGAGGTGGAAAATGAAACATGTTGAAGAAATCCTGACTTAACTTCTCAATGGCAGTCTAGGAAGGAAAGAACAAAGAAAGTTAAGTGCAGGGCATAATATATACGGCTGCAAACAGTTTCCCATGTAGAGACCTCAGAAAATATTTAACTTTGGGTAGCAGTAAGGCACTGTCTGGTGAGCCCTTTCCTAGAGCAGCATTTTCTTCTTTCTGTTGCTCTAGCAATCTTACTTGCTGATGTTGGAGAGCAGATGCACTACCCAGCCTTAGGTGGCAGGTGAAGTATTGCAGTGGGTAATTGAAACGCAGAGTAGCTCTCCAAGTCAAGCACCCAAATTTGGTGGGTCCTACCAAAGTGCAAAGATCTTGGAAGCTGCCAGACTGTACCTGGGTGGTGCTGATTCTGAGTGAAAGCAGAGTGTTACGGGCAGACTGTAAAATGGCAAATCCCCTGGTTTTGTCAGCGTTAAATAAGATGGCTGATGCTGAGGATAAAAAAAGCAGGGATCCATCTGCACACAAACCAGATGATCTCCATTCAGCTATGGCCTTGCTGGATAGTGTCTACATACCTTTAATAGAAGTAGTCTTATAATGTTGCCCAGAGGGGTTGGAGTCGGAACTCTGATTCACAGTCACTTTGCTTTCCCTCTGCCTCTAAAACAGCGTTTCTCAACCTCGGCAAATTTAAGATGTCTGGACTTCAACCCCCAGAATTTTGGGAGTTGAAGTCCAGACATCTTAAAGTTGCCGAGGTTGAGAAACACTGCTCTAAAACATCTGTGGTCAGACAGTCAAGAATCATCTTTGCACACACAAATGCTTTTTTGCATGTATATGCAATTCTTTCCTTATCTATGGGGGAGTGAGATAGCAAATTTTTGGACCCCCCCCCCTTTTTCTGGAAAGAGTAAAGAGCTCCATCTACTTCCCATTCTCCCTCATCCTTGCTGTTTATTCATGGTATCTACAGTGGGGCAAAAAAGTATTTAGTCAGCCACCAATTGTGCAAGTTCTCCCACTTAAAAAGATGAGAGAGGCCTGTAATTTTCATCATAGGTATACCTCAACTATGAGAGACAAAATGAGAGAGCTGGGACCAAAGTAACAAAGGGAGCTCCATCTACTTCCCATTCTCCCGCATCCTTGCTGTTTATTCATGGTATCTACAGTGGGGCAAAAAAGTATTTAGTCAGCCACCAATTGTGCAAGTTCTCCCACTTAAAAAGATGAGAGAGGCCTGTAATTTTCATCATAGGTATACCTCAACTATGAGAGACAAAATGAGGAGCTCCATCTACTTCCCATTCTCCCGCATCCTTGCTGTTTATTCATGGTATCTACAGTGGGGCAAAAAAGTATTTAGTCAGCCACCAATTGTGCAAGTTCTCCCACTTAAAAAGATGAGAGAGGCCTGTAATTTTCATCATAGGTATACCTCAACTATGAGAGACAAAATGAGGAGCTCCATCTACTTCCCATTCTCCCGCATCCTTGCTGTTTATTCATGGTATCTACAGTGGGGCAAAAAAGTATTTAGTCAGCCACCAATTGTGCAAGTTCTCCCACTTAAAAAGATGAGAGAGGCCTGTAATTTTCATCATAGGTATACCTCAACTATGAGAGACAAAATGAGGAGCTCCATCTACTTCCCATTCTCCCGCATCCTTGCTGTTTATTCATGGTATCTACAGTGGGGCAAAAAAGTATTTAGTCAGCCACCAATTGTGCAAGTTCTCTCATTTTGTCTCTCATAGTTGAGGTATACCTATGATGAAAATTACAGGCCTCTCTCATCTTTTTAAGTGGGAGAACTTGCACAATTGGCGGCTGACTAAATACTTTTTTGCCCCACTGTATGCCCAACATATCAATGTTCATAACCCGAAGTTTGTGACAGGTTGCACATGTGTTGTGCAATGCAACACAAGAAAAAGAATTATGGATATATTAATGGTCATGAATACTTTCTGTATTCATGGGAATACATGGTTATGAATATTTTCTGTATTCATGGGAATGGTCTGATATACTTTCTCAGCATTTCATGAAATAATATTCTAGTATGCAATCATTTTTATTTTTTTTAGTAAATCTGGAAAGATTTTTGTCATAAACTGTCGGCTTTAGAATTTCATACTTGAAATAAGCTGTTCTTTTTCACAGCTTGATGATCATCCAAAATTTGCAATGTAGGTACCTTCAAATGAATGATGTGTCCTTTGGAAACAATTCCCATGTCCTTCAAATCCTCTTCTTCCAGAAGAAGTAAGCGTTTTCCTGTGATGTGGTGCTCTTTAAACAAGCTGGCATAGTTACTCATATCTCCAGTTGTATCACCTTAAGATCATAAGACATTGTTCAGAAATTTGGACACAGAAAGATCAAGTCTGTGAGCTGGTTTTCTCTCTCAAGCTTTTGGGGTTGCTGTAGCCTAAAGGAGACTCCATTCTCTGTAACCAAGTGACTTAGATTTCCCACATGACAACAGCAGCAGGCACATCTTGTTCTGTACCAGCCTTCAGTAGTCTTTCAAATTAAGAAATCATAAACACTATCTATTTAGAAAACTAGTATAAGAATTTATTCTTGCTCTAATTTGCTGCTCTCTGCTTTGCTAATTGGCTGCTCCAACAAAATTCCATTCACAGCACAATGTTTTCCTTCTTAGACTCATGGAAGGAGAATTCATTGATTCTGTTCTTTTACACAGGATTTCCATTGGAATCCTTGCTTCTCTAAAAATCTAAGCTGAAACCATTAATTGAAACTTCTGTTGGCTTCATCTGTTACAAGTTGTCAAGGAGGATGTGAACTGAGTAGCATCTATCAGACAAAGATTTCTTAGCGTTCCCATATTCCGGTTGAGGGATGATTTGTTCATTTCACTGAGAAAGTTAGCTAAGTTCCTTTGAATCTTACGACAAGTTAAGAAACTCAAAGGCTTCTTGTTTTTCCTAGCTATATTAACAGCTTTTAACCATGCCATCACCACAATACATTCATTCATTCAACTCTTGTGAGCTAGACATATGCAGAGTCTTACCTTTTTCAGTGAGCTGTTGCATCCAAAAATACTGTGAAGAAAGGACATTGGTTTTATGATCTGAGGCATTAAAAAGCTTTGTGTGAAACATCTAATCAGAAAACATGTTGAGAAGAAAAATGTAGTACTGTAAGCTGTTTAAATGAATAGGGATTGTGTAAAAACACAACAACATACTTTAATTTTACATCTGAGATTAAAAATTTGCAACCATGGCCAGATCTAACTCCTCTCATCAGTTGCCAATTCAGAGGAAGATGTAGACAGAAAAATGTAATTGTAAGGCAGATGTAAGGCAGAAAAATGAATTGGCAGTCTAACATGAAAGATTGATTACATCCTGCCCTTGAGTCCCCACTCTACCTTCAAAGTGATCCTTGTATAAAACTAGTTGTTGGCCAGGGCACGAGATGGGTAAGACAGACAACTACCGCTTACATTCTCCATAGAACATCTCTTTTTAATGTGCTTGAGGTTTTTTAAAAAAATCAAGACAAGTTCAAGAAGTTATAATGTAAGGAAGAGATGACCAAATATATATTACTTCTTTAATCATTTTGCACAATGGTTTATAATTTAAGAGTAGTGTTTCCTGGGCAGAGGTGTCCCACTGTTGTTTATGATGTATATGTTTAAACTTGCATTAAGATATTAATGGTAGGCATGAAGGCAAAACAGCCTCACCACGTAGGACCATAAATATAAGAAAAACAAGAATGCTAATATCTAAATTGCTACCGATACATATATTACTAAGATCCTTATTTAGATTGCACAGAAGGATATTTTAGATTAATGCAATTTGCTCTACATGAGGCTGCCGTGGAAGGTGATTCAGAAGCTGCAGCCAACACCAAATGCAGCAGTTGATGGGGAAGAACCAGTTTGCCAGAGCACCACCATTTCGACTGGAGCTGCTCTAGCTGCCAGTAGACTTCCAGATCCAGTCCATCTTGCTGGTTATTGCCTACTTCATGGCGTGGGCCCTTGTTAACTTCAGGACTACCTGTGCTAGCTACAGTCTGCCCATCTAGTACATTCCAGATGGGAGATCATGCTGCAGATCTGTTCCCTTCAGAATATAATGTGGACATGAAAGCAAGCCTCCTTGATCGTAGCCCCATCACTCTGGAATAGCCTACCTCTAAGCTCAGGTTGGGCCCTTCCTACTTTCATTATGGAAGTGGGTTACAACTGTGCCATTCCAAAGAGAATTTGGTGCAGGGCATGCCACCTAACTTGAAGGGGGCTAATTTTGAGATGATGTTTAAATTATTGTAACTGTTTTTAATTTGTACTTTATTCTATAGATTGTAAGCTACCTAGAGTCTATAGATGGCATACAGGTTTACATAATAAGTAACATCAATTAGGTTAGATAAGACTTTGCATGTGACTATCCTAACATCCCTTCTCCAGTGATGCTATGAAAAAATGTTTTCTGGACCACTTTCTTTTCTTCAAAGACTCCCTTTATGTTATTTTTCTCCCTGCCAGTATTCTGAACTTAGGTTTATCTAGCATACTTGGATATCACTGTGAACCTGGTGGAGGACATTTAAAAAAAAAATTGTCCCTCCACAGTCCATTCCTCATTGTTCATCCTAAGATTAAACTGCAGGAAAGAAGGTGCCATAGACAGCTGTTTCACAAAACAGCAGTAAAATTTTAGCCTAGGGATGGGGAGATTGTGGCCACATGTGGTTAGACTGCAACTCCCATTAATCACAGCCAACATTGTTGATAACAAATAAACAGACTTGTAGTGCATCAGCATTAAGGGAATGACAGGTTTCTCACCATGGCTTAGGCCTTTGCTTAAAGACAGATTTCCTAGCTAAATGAAGAAAGATTGACTTAATTAATAAAGGCTGCTTACCACATCTTCTTCAGTCCATGCACCGATATCAAATGATGGCAGCAACTGTGTAAGAAATATGCATTTAAAAGTGCAGTTTCTTTTCTTGTCTCTATTTTCTCATTTTCCTTTAGTATATGGTTTTTATTTAGCAGGTTCTTTGCAAATTTTGAGTATTTAATTGATATGTTATTGATTAAAAGATGGCACATCCTCTTTTCTGAAACAAAACCCTTCTCTGTTCAGCCAAGTCATTTGTATCCAAACTCATTTTGGATGACTTATGGTATTAACAGGACCATAGTTTTGTTTTATTTTTTATGTTTATTTTCCAGATAAGAATTTCCACATATGTTCTTCTCTGTGTACAAGAACATCAAAGTGGAATAAACCAAATTATCATAAGCTAGCTTTTAATTAATATGTCAAATTCTAATTTGAACTTTAAACTTAGACAAATTCTAATTTAGGTTTGCAAACTTAGTATTGAGGAGGCTGTTTGGGATTTGCTTTTCAATTTTGTGTGAGTTATGTAAATTGTAATGAATGGTTAGTTGATTGCCTGTTAAATATCCTGCAATGATGGAGAATGTCATTCAAAAGAAATGAACACTTAAGATTTGATACTCAGTTCTGAAAAATACTGCACACTAGTGATATGGTGGGGAACAACAGAGATGCCTCACTGAGTTAGATTCTCTGAGACTGAAACCATAGGAAGAAACTGAGGAAGATCATCAAAACACCTTGGGTTTTACTGATTTTATACTGGTTTCCTGGTAATGAACTAATTCATGTAATGTACTACAAGTGCCCAGACATTATAGTTTAGCGTGACGTACAAACTTGCCCATACACTATGTATATCCCATAGTGAACTCATTTGATAGGCAAACCAGCACCTCCTGGGGGTTTGGGGGAAACAGTCTGCAGAAGTACAAAAACAAACTTGGGGGGAGGGGTTATACTCAAATTAGCCAATTAATATTTAATATACTTAACAGAATGATGAGGAAAAGCAGAAAACCATGAGGTGACAATACAACAGGGTATCCTGAAAGAAGCCAGGAAGGAATGAATTACTGCTTATTAGCTTGACAGTAAAAGAGACTTACTATTAATTTAGTGATTTCTTCATTGTTAGTGGATTTGGTATTTAGAAGTATAATTTGTAAGATATACAGAGATTTTAATGTTGGGAAAAGGTATCATGACTGGTCCAAGATTATCAAGTCATCTTCATAGTCAAGTCATAGTCACGGTCAAGTGGTGACTTAAACAATTCCAGCATCTTAACCACTATATCATATTGCCTGATATGAGCATCTTCGTTCTGTCTGTATGAATTCCATGATATGTACATCATGGAAAATCTATTGGAGACTGTGAAAAGCTGTGTACATTTGTAAGTTCCAAGTTGGAGTTTGACTTCCTTAAAGTTTCTAGAAGACCTTGCTGTAATTTCTCTTCACTCAGAACAATCAGTCTTTAAAAAGGGGGTAGCAGACCCCAACCTCTTATGTAGGCTGATGCAGGCTCTCTATTAAAGCTTTCCTCAACTTCTCATATGTGAGACTATCATCATCGGCGGCTAGAAAAGCCTTAGGAAGGACTAGATAAAAATCTATAACACATTTAGAAGATGTGCTGTATTCCAGTCTGCATCCCTGAATGGTAGTGGATGGTTGTCTGTAACAAGCAGTAGGCCTGAATCAGGATGTGTATTCCTTTTTAATAAAAAAAAAATCATATGTATAACAAAGAATTTGTATTCCTTTCCATCTCAGCTGAATAAAGACTAGATGAGCACTGTAGCATGGTCACAAATATGCATTGCCCTATCTCTACTCCTTACAAATGCAATGTTGTTACCTCAGGGCGTTCAGGGATAAGAAACCTATAGCCCTGTACATGTTGCAGAACTACAATTCCTGGCACCTCTCACCATTGGCCATAGTAGGTGAAACTGTTGAGAATTAGACTGAACAACAACATTTGGAGAGCCAAAGGTTCCTTAACTTGGTCTTAGGGAACATTACTTTCAATATGACCATAGTAACTCCTCATGATGCGTTTATATTTTTTTAGCTGCTTCAGCGTTTTGTACAATGCATATGTGTGTGTATATATTTATTTGAGGTTTACAATAGTTTTTAAACTATTTCAGTATAGGAATGATTATGGCATTCTGCTTATGCATGAATTAATAGACGCTGAAGAGGAATAACAGTAATAAGGGACATTTGTGATGCGTTCGGTGACAACGCCCAGATTAAAAGTTGGTGCCGATGTATCATTAGGTACCCAATTTAAACATCATGCTTTTAATCAGGACTGCAGGCTTTTTATGTATATTTTTTTTAGTGTCATCATGTTTATTGTAAAGTCAAAAATGGAAACAAAGAGACACAAATAAAAACAGCTCACAACAAACTAGGATTTATGACACCAAATTGTAAAAAAAAGTTGATTACATTTTTGGTGTTCTGTGAATAATTAAAAATGCAAATCCATTATATGAATGAAGCAAGACATCACATAATTAAATACTATAATGAAAAAAGTAACTACAGAAAGTCTTGCCATGCAAAAGTGGAACATTTCACATTCCATACAAATTTTATATTCTGTTTACACACTGTAGTAGTTTTGGCACAGAGTTCTCACAGCACAGCAGAAAACAAGTTTCAACTTTTCTAAACATGGTTGAAATACTTTCCATTTACATTTTCATACAGATTTGGAATACAAATAACATTATCTCCTTATTAATCAATATAAAACATTTTATAAGTGTAAAAAGCAAAAAAACAACAGCCCCTCTGAATGATAATATGCTTGACCAGATTTCAATAGAGAGGCTTTACAAATTTCTAAAATAACATGAAAGTGTTTATGATAGTTTGCCTCTATGATATTTCTGAAATTATTTTTACCTATTAAGTAAGCTCTAGGCAGGCTTTTCAATAAAAATGGATGAAATTCAAGTTTTGAAAAGAAAGTAAGGATACTTTCTTTACTAGTTTCTAAAAGTAGAGCAGATATTCAGGACCGGAAGCTACTACTGCTTCTCATGCCATTTTATTAAAACAAAAATGGAAAAAATGCAATGATTTCAGGGGAACTACCAAACAAAAGGTTGTTCAAATAACAGATTTATTAAACTGTACAGAAGGTATTGTGATATTAAAATAGCAAGTCTCATTGTCCCTATTAATCCATTATCTCATTGATGTGCCACAATTTAATAAACCAGAGAGTATATTTTTATTGTGCCATCACCCAGTGTTATCAATGGAGCAAGGCGCAAGTGACACTGGATTCTATTGTTAATCTTCCTCTCTTTTCCTATGGCATTTTCTGTCTTTTCCTTCAGGGAAGATATCCATAAAAGAGGGGAAAACAGAATAGCTCCAAACTGACCTTTGAGTGCATTAAGGTCTACCTGGACTCATCCTTGGTCTCCTACACAATCCATATTTTGATTTGGTGGACAGGTGACCAAGATGCTACTTTTCACATGAAACATTCTCTTCCTTTCAGTGGCTATGCCTTTACTGTGTACTCAATACTCATGCCAAGTTCAGATTTCCCTCAGAATATATTCACTGAATCCCTTTATAACAGCATTTCCAAATTATTCCTCTCCAGATGTATTGTGGCTCTAGCTTCCAAAATTCACATTGGCTATGTTGCTAGGGAATGCTGAGGGTAATAATGCCAATACATCTGGAGTTGAGGAAGGTTGTAATATGGTTTCCGATCCAATAGCTTTTTAATAGTTGTTCAAAATTCACTAAGTTCTATTTAACTATTTTAAAGGGTGACATGCTCCCTCATTCAACAATAAACTATTACACCGCATACACTAGATCGTGACTTTACTGTTATCAAAATAACACTGCTTGTATACCCAAACTGAGCAATCTTAAGTACTGACTGCAATAAGCAGTAGCACAATTGCACTTTGTAACGCAGCATCTGAAATGAGGTTTTAGTAGTATTCTAATATTTAATCCAGAATATTCAGCACTACAGTAAAACTTTGGAAGTTCAATTAGTTGGAAATATGTGCCAAGGAGCTACTTTCAGAGCCTGTTTCTGCAAGCGATCAGTATCTTCTCAAGATCTGTGTGTCTGTAGCCCAATGCACATATAAAAATATTAATCAAGACTGTTTACAAGGCAATTTTGTTTTTGTTTACTAAAAAGTCAGCTTTGTGAGCTCAATAGAATTTGCCATCAGTTAAATATCTACAGGATTGCAATTTAAGACTATAATCCTATGATCCCTAGGGATATTCCAGAAGCGATAGGATTAATTAAACCATTATTTTTGAGGATAGAATGAACTTTGAGACCCCTTGCCAGCCAGTGTAGAAACTTGCACAGCAGCTTTTTTTCTGTCTGAGAACTCCAACCCGAGGCGGGGGGGGGGGCATTCCCAGATTAGGCAATGTGGGGTGTGCTGGAAGGGTTTGTGAATCAACACAATGAATTCCCTTTCAATTATTTCAGGATGACAAAAATGTAAAATAAAAAGAAGTAGCTCCAGGGAAGAAAAAAGTGTGCAAGAAACAAGGGAGTCCTTCATCTATCACTTTACAGATTCCTAATTTTTTAAAAATCAACCTCCTTAAAAATATGTTCCCTGATTAAATGGAAGCACCTATTCAATCAAAAGTTTTAATTGTTTAAATTAACCCAAGCAATCAGCTAGATGTTATAGCCCTAAAAATTGTGTCCATGATCAGGATCCTTGGTTATTTCTATGAAATTGTGTTTGAAATATAATCACACTTTGAAGAAAGAAAACCTATCTGAATTTTATGTTTGCTTTGACTCAAGAAGTGGTATGTTTAAATATCATTGCATTGTGTTCCTTTTTTCATTTCTACTGAGATTTTTAACAACAGGAAAGTTGTCAGAAATGGCAATAAATAAGCAACAGTGTGAAAAAGACATATTTATCACACAAGAGTGACCCAGCTATTCAAGAAGGCTTTGTCTGGATTAGATCTTTCTTACTTATTTTAAAATAATACTATAAGGAGATGTCACTTGTA